CTGGTTTGGGTTTTGGGTGGTTTACACATGCCACAAACAAGCACAACAAGCAGAGGTCGGTATGTGTGAAATGCAGAATCCACCGATGGCTTCTGGACCTCGGAGAAAGCGTTGGAGACAGAAGACTGTGGACGAACACATGGCTAGAAGGCTCGGGTGGATCATGCGGGGGTGTGACCATATGTGTATGTGTATGTATGTACGTATGTATGTTGCGTGTATATATATATATGTATATATAATATCTGTATATGTTGAACACAGTCCGCCTCCCTACCCGTCAGCCCAAACAGTTAGAGCTCGTCTCCTGAGTCAACTTGGCTGAAGAGCGCAAGTTCCTCCACGAACCGAGACAAGCCGAGGATTCCACAATTCGTGGTGAATCGCAGTGGGTGCACCTCGACACCTCAAAAAAGGCTGGGATGCTCTGATAGGGCTCTTGTGAGCCACCGGTCCACACCCGCATGGGTTCTAGGGCTTCGGGGTTTGTAAGGCCTAGGAACTTTGAGGACAGGAGCCACACACATGTGCCTGCATGGAGTCTTGAGTGCTTGGGGCCCGGGTCAGACAAAAGCCAATCGGCTGAGCTTCCCGCCTAGGGTTGGAATGTACTTCTTCTCGAACTCGCCTGCCCAGCTCTTGCTACACAGGCTACCCGAGCTCTCTGCTTGCTCTTGCCTGTCAGGTGGCGCTTGACCAGGGTCGTCTTTCCAACACCTTTGCACTGCACTTCGTGGCTTGAAGCTCCCGCCCGCGCAAGACGCAACCGCTTCTCAGACTTCCCGTTGCTAAACTGTTCAAGTGTTCTTGATCGGGGCACACTTCCGGGAAGCTGTGGTATATGATCCCTGGTGACATGCTGCCGTGCATTAAGTAGCAAAGCATGGGGCAGTGACGCGATTCTCAGCCCCTCTGCAGCCGCCACGCCTCCATCACCGCAGAGCACGAGCTTGAACTCTGGTCCTGCAGCCAAGCCGACTCCCTAAACCCTAAACCCCTAAACCCCTAAACCCTAATCCCTAATTAACCTAAACCCTAAACCCTAATTAACCCAAACCCTAAACCCTAAACCTTAAACCGTGAGAACATCGACCACTGAACCTCTCACCGTTTCGATGGCGGTCCTCCAGGAGCCGCCATTGGTCCAACGCCAAGGGAAACAAAGAGAACGGCTGGCGGTGAAGGCCCTCTGCTTCTGAGCCAAAACGGTCAGAGGATTTTTCTCTTGGCCTTACAGATGTTATCTTCCCTAAACCCTAAACCCTAAACCCTAAACCCTAAAGCATAGTGAAACCCCAAGTCAGACTTTGGTCATCCCAACATCTCGAAACCATGCACAAAACAGCTTTTTTCCGTGGGTTTACTGCAGACTGCCGGGAAGCTGCCCAGAGAGACTCCGCAGCACTGGAACCGCACCGGCCTGCAGCAAGGAAAGGAAGCTCAGAACTAGGGTTTAGGGTTTAGGGTTTAGGGTTCAGGGTTTAGGGTTCAGGGTTCAGGGTTCAGGGTTTAGGGTTTAGGGTTCATTGCAGGCTTCCTGGAGCTCCACTCCTTCGCCTGACATTGCCTTCCAGATGCCCGCGCTTGCCCTGTCAACTTCACGTTGAAACGTCTCGAGGCTTTGATTCCTGCTCTCAGGAAAACCTCGTCCAACTCTGCGATGGGCCATGCATGGGTTTAGGGTTTAGGGTTTAGGGTATAGGGTTTAGGGTTTAGGGTTTAGGGTTTAGCACTCTGGAAGTAGAAGGCGAAAGTATACCGGGACCCTTCCCAGGCCTCGCGAACGGCCGGTGCCAGTTCCGGGAACTCCGCGACATTGGCTAAGGCAGAAGCAGCGCGCCAGGCCTGTCTTGACCGACAAAAAACTGAGCAAAGGGGGAAGCAATTTATATGCAGTTCCGTCCCACTTTGCAACAGAACCCGTCCTCTAGCAAAATACCCGCGAAAACTGGGGAGTGCACTGCCCAGGCCCTTCGAGGCTTACACTGCGCGTCCACGCATCGACGACTTAAGAAGTAGCTTCACTTCTTTTGGACCGCTAAAGTATTGACCGTGACTTAAGGGTCAAGAATCCTTGCTCAGCTGGGCCTCAGGAAAATTCTGGCCACGCTTGGCAACATCCAAGAGAAGGGCCACGCCTGAGCTTCACATTTTCTGGCAGCGGGGCGCATGGGCATGGAACCTAACAAGCAAGCTTCCATGAAGGCCTGCTGGCCAGCAGAGAAAGCCAGAGAAAACAATGGCAACATCTGTCTTTTCCCCCTCTGGAAGCTCTGCTGCCGGTGTCGCAGCGGTTGCACGAGACTTTTACAGGACGCGCCGTGTCGTCGTCCTGCGCACCGGCACTTCACACACAGAGCGAGAATAATCGTGCTTGGGTGTCAGTGGCCCTACTCTGGCGCTGGAATGTACGCTGCAAACTTCCGGGCTTCCGCTCGATACTCTTGCTCGATGTCGAGGCCCCCTGCCAAGGGCAGGCCACCCATCGAGCAAGTTGTAGAGGTCTGCGTGGGTTTTGCGGCTTTGGCCTTAAGCCAGGGTCCATGACCACCCAGAGGCAGCGTCCCAAGAAGGGCTGTACGAGGACGTGAATCCATTCGGGGTGCACCAAACCAGTAACATAGCCGGTGGCCCACCATAGCTCTTGGCTTCTCTGTTGTCCTTGCTCTGGGCCGACGTAGCAGGGTCGGGTGTCAGGGCACACGGAAGAGGTCTTCGGTACAAAGACCGCCTGTTCGAGGATAAAAGGCTTCATCTCTGCCGGCGTCTCCTTACCTGGGATGCTCTAAGGAACTTCAGAACAAAATACTCTCATACTCTTCTGAACTGTCTTTAACCTTAATTGAAACAGGTCTCAATCAACTAATAAAGAAAGTATACTCAACAGTATATGGCATGTGGTTGAAATAAGGCTTCCTCGTAGAGCTAGCTTGGTTTCAGTGACTTATAGCAGCAACCCAGTCGCGCCTGGAGAGAGCCTGTCGAGCCTCGCTCGCAGCCTTCTTGGCCGCGTCCACGATGTCAACCAATTGGTCATCGAGCATTCACCCGCTGCCCCAGGAAGGAGACTGCCTTTGGAGGAGGGAGGTTGTGGGGCCGGGTAGCACCAGAAAGGGCGGTCTTCAGCGCCTGGCAATAGGGGTAGATCTGCGAGCCATTCACGAGCTCATCAACCATACTCCTTGCAGCAGCAATACTCCAAGCCGGAGTAGATGCTCCGGTCCACGGAGGGGCGAAGCCCCTGCGCCGGGATACCGCACAGCAGGGAGCAACGTACCACAAAAAAATGCACTGCCCTTCTGGCACCCATTTTGAAGCACAAGGGCCCCTTGTCGGCAGAGGATCTAGAATTTCGCGGCTCTCGCTACGTTTGCCAACTTGATGCAGTTGGCTGCAGGCGCAAAGGATGCACAAGCGCACAAACGATCAAATGCCGCATACTTTACAGCTGCCAACACGGCCTTGGTGCAAATGAGCTTGCCTCCTTCCTCACAGACGGCTGTTGCTCCAGCTCGATCTGCTGCAAGGTTTCGAAGCCTAGATACCACACGCAGCATTGGTTTGAAGTTGTCTTCGAGTGATTCAGCTTGATGATTGCAGGCGACACTGCTTACCACAGACTTGCGCACACTTCGGCATTCACCAGGAGGAGTTTGTGAAGCCCGGCATGGACAACATGCAGGTTGGTGCACACGACTCTGATGACTTCCCACACTGCACCATTGCGCCGCGACACGTTTGAGCCGCGGCGGCCACCACCTCAAAGAAGCGGACACGAGAGAGGGAGAGAGAGAGAGAGAGAGAGAGAGAGAGAGAGAGAGAGAGAGCCTTCCGTTAAAGCCCCCTTGTCGTCTGACCG